GTGCTGATATCAATCCCATTGGAGGTGTTAGTAAGATGGACCTGAAGTGCTTTTTGCAGTACTGTGTAAAACGCTTCCATCTCGCTGCCCTCATAAGGTGTGTAATCCTTCCTTTTGGTGCACATTTGCTGATCAAATAACTGATGTAGTTACATAATCTTGATTGTTTTGGCCAACAAAACTGAAAAAATCACATTGAGTGAAAATTAAAAGAGGGACAGTTTAAGGGGAGGCAGACCACTCATAGAAAAATGAATGGGGGAAATGCTTTTTTCTTAACTAATATGCATGGCCAGCCTGAAAACAGTGTTTAGGCATGATAAAAAAGATAAATATATTTGTGTGTGTGTGTGTGTGTGTGTGAGTGCTGCATTTATTTGATCAAAAATACAGTATAAACAGTAATATTAAAAATTGTATAGTTTAAAATAGCTGTTTTCTATTTGAATACATTTTTAATATGTTATTTATTCCTGTGATGGCAACACTGATTTTTCAGTAGTGATTACTCCAGTTTTCAGTGTCGCATGATCCTTCAGAAATCATTCTAATATGCTGATTTGGTACCCATCTTCTGTACAGCATTTTGGATGCTCCACCAACTGCAGAGCTTGAGCCACTGACTGATGGCAAGATCGTCCAGACTGATGAGGTAAACATAGTCAACCTCATTCACTGATAAAAATTAGGTCTTGAATACTACTGCATTTATAAGTCATTGTAATTGATTGAGACGGGATGTGCAATGGACTGCACAACTGTGTGTGGCAATAGTTGTCCAGTACTGTCTGACATATATTTAAACTGGCTAATGTACTGTTTGACAGCCATATGACTCCTGCAGTAGGCTGTGTATTTTTCTAAGCCATCTTCTCAGTCAAGCTGATTTTGCTTTTCTTTGCATTCATGTGATTTCTGCAGTTTGAAACACAAAGCAGAATCATCACAAGCAATTCTTGTTGTCATTAAACATCTAGCACGTCATGGGAAAACATAATCCAAAAGCATTGCATCCATTACTGATATTTCAAACTACAGCTTGCATTCATGTCACTTTTTGGTATATTTAATCTAAATGTATGTAAATAAAAAAATATTCAGTTTACTTCACTTTAATCACTGGATGGTGCAAATGTGTCTCATGTTACATATATGAATTACATTTTAAACAATGACAGATTGGAGATGATTATTGTGTGTTATATGCCTACGTGGCTTCTGCTAATTTTTTAGTGGCTTTTACAAAGTGGTAGGGATGGAATCAACTTTGGCAAAATGGTCAAATAGCAATTAAAATTCTGTTTAATTAGTGACTTTCAATTAGTTTTTCATTTTAATATTTAATTAATATTATATTTTAGGACATTTAAACTATTCAGTTTTAGGTGAAGTAAAAAATATACATTATATTTATTCTATATATCTTGTAGTAAATAAATCAGTGTAGGATTTGTAATTGAGTGAAATGAGAACCTGTCTGATGTCTGATATTATTGCAAAGTATTGTGGATATTTATTTTATTTATTTTTAATTTATGTAATTTTTATTTTTTTATTATTTATTTATTTTTGTTTTCCACTTACTTGTTCAAGTTGTCCTTATTTTTATAGGGCATGTTTACTATGCTGCTGTGCCCTTATGTGCTTTTTCCATCACAGTGTGCATGCAGACAGATAGTTTTACAGCTCTGAGACCTTACACATGTGTTTCTGTGCTTCCCTCCCACAGGCTGACATGGGAATGACCTACTCAGAGCTGTCTGTGATTGGCAGACTCAGGAAGATCTCCAAGTGTGGCCCATACAGCATGTTTTGCAAGCTGATTCACTCATGGAAAGAGACCTTCACTCCCTCGCAGGTCAAACATGCCCTAAACATTACAGTACTCATAGTGCCTGATACTTTTAAAAGCAGTAAATACTAATATTTGACCACTGTTATTTTATGACCAGTAGAGCAATGCCATGCTTTGTGCAAATGCCATTTTTTGGGGTTTTGCAGGTGGCTACTAAAGTGAAACATTTTTTTAGGATGTACTCAATCAACAGACATAAGATGACAACAGTAACACCCTCTTATCATGCTGAAAACTTCAGTCCAGATGATAACCGCTTTGACCTCCGTCCTTTCCTTTACAACACACAGTGGCACTGGCAATTCCGCTGCATCGACAATGAGGTCAGCAGTTCTACAGAACAATGTGATTTCATTAGGCTGTATTATACAAGCTTTAATATTGAAACTTTACACAAATACTGTACATATATATATATATATATATATATATATATATAGATAGATGTAAATGTTTGTCTGAAGATGTTTGTACGTAGTTTTTCTATTTGTATGAAATCCATTCTGTTTTTCTGTTGTATAGGTGGCTATGATGGAGTGATATGGAAGGTGTATGTACAACTGTTATCAGAAGCCATTGATCCTTGGTCCAAAAATTCATCTCGGCCGCTGATGTTATAGTGAGCGCTCAGCAGTTCTCTGCACTCTTTCTGTTTGGCTGCACATGCACTGCAACTTGTTCTAGTTATTGTTTTTCTTAGGATGTATAAATCCTAAATAATGTCTTCAGTTATGTTCGCATTTTAATGCAAATAATCAGGTTTGCGATTATTGAAATTGTGTATGGTAATGGTGGTTTAAAAATAAAACAATACATATGAAATTGTTCATATGCAGTTACTGTTAAATAAGATATCTGTAACTTGCACTTTCATAATCTTTCATTGAATAATTTGCCAAGAAACAACCATATTTGCCCAGATCAGCTCAAGTATGTAGTGTAAATGACTCTATAACCAAGCAAATTAAATGACTGCAGCATTTTTCAAGAACACAGGCATGCCAGTGATATAAGAGTGATGACTGGGTCATTCCTTGCAGAACTCTGTAATATAATAAATATTTCTACAAAAAGGATTATGCTCTTTATATAGTATGCTTTGGTAAAGCTCAGGCACTTAAGGTTTCTAAATTGTAGCTTGATTATCTGCAAGAAAACAGGAATGGATAAGTCACCCCAAAAATGACAATTCGGTCATTATTTACTCACCCTCATGTTGTTCCAAACCTGTATGACTTTCTTTCTAAGTATTTTTGTTATTAAGGGGTCATATGATGCTGCTAAAAAGAACATTATGTGTTAGAATGAGCCGTTTTAGGTAGGCGTGGTTGACTCTTAACTTTTATAAAGAATATCTCTTTGGATTTGAGACTTTAGTCTTTGCAACTTTACAGATCTTCTTTATGCACCAAGAGCTTGTAACACTCCAAAGAGAAAAGAATGTTGGTAAACAAACTGTTTTGGTTACCATTGACTTTATTTTTATAGACATGGTTGTTCTTGAAAATATCTTATGTTTTACGACCACAGAAGAAAGAACGTCATGCAGGTTTGGAATGACATGAGAATTAGTAAATAATGACAGGATTTTCACTTTGGGATGAACTATGCTTTTAACTTGAGGGTAATTTTTGAAATGTAAAAACTTAATAAATAAGTGTTGACGTGGGAAAACAGAATGGAACGTTTTAAAGTGAGACAAAGCAACTAATACAGCAAATCATCTTTTTTTTTTTTATCTTTTGCTAATGCTACTGTTGTCTGTGTTGTTGAAAAGCCGCTGGTTATAGTTTTCCCACCAAACATATCACTTCCTAAAAAATGATTTTGGAAGCAGCTTTTTGTTTAGATATTATAGTTTCAAAGACTAACAGGATAGAATGTGATGGTGAGGACAAAAATGCAATGAATTGATTACCAATTTACAAAACAAAAACAAAATAAAAGTGTGATTTTCATATTTTATTCATTATGGCGTACAAATGTAGATTTGAAAGATATTTTAAAGTTTGAACGGTACTTTAAAGTTGTCTTAAGGCAGAAAGCATGAGACAGCGGATGTGGACGAGTTGGGTGTCAGAGAATTGACTTCCTCTTTGTATGTGTGAAACGGTCTGAACACACACACGTTGGTACAGCTATCATACACACACGCGCGCGCACAAACGTTTTATATACATATAAATGAGAAGAAAAAATAGTTTATTTCAGGGAGATTCATTAATGTATTATTTAACTGTTATTATAACCCGTATAAAGAGTGTCGCAAGTAAATCCCCACGCTTGCTCAATCCGTTTGCAGCTCATGACGCAAATGAACTCGAAGGAAAATTTAGGACAAGCTGAACACTATAGGCTCATAAATCCCAATCATTTGCCTAGATTAAAATGACCCTTCATTATAAACAAAGACGGACGTTTATTTGATCGACGGAACGCAATATAACACCAGCAGAAGATAATGCTCTTCTTTCGAATGAGTTCTATTTAGTGATTCTTTTGAACCGGTTCGCACAGTGTTTTATCACTTGCCTTCAAAAACACCTTAAACTTCAGCATGTGACGAGCTCTATATAATATTTAATATATAAAACATTGTGGAAAAACATCAGAATGTAACAAACGTGATTCAACAAGTGAATTTTTAGAGGGTGAACTGATTCATTGTAAAGAATCATTCGAACCGATTCGGTAAAATGAAACTTGACTAGCTAGTGCTCTGACATGAGCGAGCAGAACGTTTCATTTGAGTGCGTGAGCTGAGGGTATGGGAGGAGTTGACGGCTCCTAAAAACACCTCGAGCACTGTTGCTCTCGCTTTAATGTTACACTGACTCAGTACGGTGGGAATAAAAACAAGTGCGTCTCCACTATAGCGAGACTGTCACTTTATTTACAGACATGGGCAGAAGACTCGTTTAGGTTTGTCCTTCGTCACTACCGATATCTTTAACGCCCTGTTTGGGATTTATTTGGCATATTTGGAGACTCGTAGCGACTGTCTAGATCAGGGGTGGCGAACTCCGGTCCTGGAGAGCCGCAGTCCTGCAGAGTTCAGCTCTAACCCTAATAAAAACTCACCTGCCTGAAGCTTCCTAGTAACCCTTCAGGCCTTGATTAGCTTGTTCAGGTGTGTTTGATTAGGGTTGAAGCAAAACTCTGCAGGGCTGCGGCTCTCCAGGACCGACGTTCGCCACCCCTGGTCTAGATGGAAGAAGAAGAGCCGCTACTGACTGGCAGCATTAACCGGGACTCTGGTGATTATGGATCTCATGATAATGGTGAACATTATCAACATGAAGAATCACCAGGATCAAGACGCCTGTCCTATTCAGTGACTGACGATTCTTACCCTGTGTACGAGGGTACGTATGTTTTTATCAGTCTGACCTGACAAAAGTGTCCTGACTTAGCCTTTAAAACTTTTCCTCAACCTTGTTCTGCTGTCTTGTAGTTTATCCGTTATCTCTGTGTGTTATTTAATAAAAGTCTAAAGGTTGTGGCTTTGTGAGGCTGGTATCATATTCATTCACCTCTGTTTGGGTTCTGTCTTTGCTGTCAGACAAACACACCATTGTCTTCTCATTGCCTCTGCAGGTCATCTACTTTGACTTCATTTGTTGCTTTCATCAAATTACAAGTGAAGATAGTTAGACATATTGAAAATGTATTTTTATTGTTTACAGTTAATGTAATATTCGTTTTCATATTTTAGCAGAAATCTGGGGCAGCTAAAGGTGTTTTGGGTGGATGTGTGAAAATCTTGTTCAGACTTGTTATAAAAAGTGTTGCAAAATACAATTCGGAACATTATGTCAAGGTAATCTGAATGTCAAACTGACTAGTTTGTTTTAGTCTGTGATTTTGGCATGTTTAGAAAAAAGTTATTATTCGTCGACATTAGTTAGCTAAATTAGTTATCACGAACTAACAAATAGCAGTACATCTACAGCATTTATTAATCTTAGTTCATTTTTATCAACATTTATGAAAACATTTTTCAGATCAAAACTTTTATATTAACAATAGATAAACTGAACTAACATGGACATTGATTAAAAAAAAAAAACATCAACAAAGGTTAATAAATGCTGTAAAAATATATTGCTGTTAGTTATATGTAGTAATATAATAAAATATGTGCATGTTAGTTATTTTATGTCTCCAGTACGAAGTCAAATGAAACTTTCAGTGGCTCTTTATTGTTCTACTTAGCGTAATCGCTCAAGGATGGTTTGGATTTGCTGGCTCATTTCCTGTTGAGAAGTTCAGGTTTGGTAGCTCCTGAATATCCTGTGACACTTAAAAATATGCCTACACACATAGTTTTACAATCAGAATATTATTTTTTTCAACACAGGGTAGAGGTACAGGTCATAGAATGATCCAGTAAATTTTGCACCAGATTTTGCTCTGCGAGTGGTTAAATTGGGAGTGCGAGTGCAATATGGGAATGATTTTTAAGGAGCCAAAATATATTTTACTATGTTTTTGTTTAGATTACAGATAATTTAATAGTTTCACTTTGTTTAATATTACAAGATCTCCAATGCAAAACCTTTTGGGACATTTTTGCAAAAAAAGTCAAACGCATGAACAAAATTCACAGCTAAAACTTTTAATTAATTTATTTTTTTGTTTATTTGTTTTTCCTTTAACACAGATGCAGACCTCTATATCCAGCAGGCTGTTGTATTTATTGAAGATGCAATTCAGGTTATTATTATTTTTTTCTAACATTTTTAAAAATTATTTTTATATTGATTGAATGAATGTCTGATTTCCCTGTTTGTGCTCTTTCCCACAGTATCGATCCATCAATCACAGGGTTGATTCTGGGTCCTTACGGTTATATAGATGGTATTATTCCAAAATTTGCCAGTGGTAAGCAAGCAGAAATGTATGCTTTTTATTTAAGATTTTTTTTCTTTGCCAGCCATGTGCCATACAAATGCAAAACAGTTACTACGGCAACACTGGAATTGTGAAAAATTGCTTCATAGGTTTATATAAAAACATGATTGCATTTTAGTTTATTTGGTATCAGTATTCACACTCTGTAGTTGTGTCTAAATCATAGTATAGGTGAGCCAAATCCATCAGTAACAAGACTCGGAGAGCCTTGCTTTCAGTCATTACTCAATTTTGACAAAATGTAGGTACTTTGTTTTTCCTTTTCATTGCATACCGTAGTTATTTCAATCAGTGTTTCTCAACTGGTAAAAAAACAAAAGTGGTACACCTAAAAGTTGACAAAATAACTTTTAGCAGATTATATATATATAATAATTTTTTTTTTTTTTTGGAAACTATTAAACCATTATGGTCTGTTACGATCCAGACAGTTCCAATGGATAACATCAAGTCTCACCCACAATTTGTCATTCAAGAAGCCTTTTTACTTGGATATATGTCCCATTAAGGAAGATAAAAAGCTAATTGGGACAATCCCTTCAATATTCCCTGCCTCAACGTCCTGTTATTGGAGATACTGTACGTTAACACAGACAAGAAAACTAAGATCACAAAGCCATTTCATAGTTCTTTAAGCTTTATTTACAGAACCTTGTTGTTGGATTGGATCAGACATGTTGTCAATTACCACAGAAAGGTTAGACTTGTCTCTTAATTTGTAAAATCAAATAAAATTCACATTCTAGAGGGTTTAAAAGCAGAAATATTCCTTGTATTTTACATTACACAACATTACAAAATGTTCGTTTTTGGAGCTATTAAGTTGTCCATGTCATCCTTTTGTGGTGTGATTACAGTTCTAGGTAGAAGAGCTTCTACAGTAATAATGCATTACCAGTATAGTTCCTGTGGGTGGAATGTAAACAGCACTTATAGTTACATCATGTCCCTTTCCGGTATCCTTGCAGGGATAGAAATTAAAACCTGCCAAATGTGGGTGAAAATCACCCATGCTGGGTTACACATATCAACTCACTAGCCAGTTTGGTGGGATGTGATTAGTAAATCTATCATTTTACACGCCATCGCTAGCACTTCCCATAAAAACAGCCTCCAACATTAGCAAAACAAAGCAAAAAGAGACGAGACAAATATCCTGCAATGACAAAGTGAGCCACTCACAAAGTTTACTATTGTATTACATTAACAAAATTTAGATTGTGCATTGTGCATTTTTCAAGAATAAATATGTTTTTTTTTTGGCTTGAATAAAGTCTTCATATAGAGAATTATATCCGATCTTTTTTCTTTCCATTAGCCCTTTTTTGTGACCAGCTTACTGTCTTCCAGAGCACTTGGAGAGTATCAAGCCGTTCTCAGTTCCTAGGGGTCCGATAAATGCCGCATGTCCAAGACTTCTGCGTGTCATTATACAGATGCCAAAGCACCCTTTAGCGTGTTTATTGCAATGCGCCGTATTTAAAAACATTTGTCATCAATATACTGATATGAAGGGCATGAGAATTTTACATTCGTTAAATTAAATGCTGGGATATAATTTTGTTATGATGGTATGATATTTTGGGGCATTATTTTCAGACACCTTGGGAGAGAGAACAGGTTGGTATTGTTTTAATGGATGAAAGGCTTCAGTTCTCAGTAAGTTGACATTTGTAAGGAAACATTTGGGATACATTTTTGAAATTACAGCCTGTCCACTAATCTTCAGTGTTTAACATTAAACATTCATTTTGGAGTAAGCTATATTTAAAAATTAAATGCTGTCACAGAGATTTTTTTGTGTGTCTGATTTTGATAATCCACTTTATGTGCAATATTTCTGTTTTGGCTATTAGAAGTTCTAAATGGCCAATAACCTAATTTGCCTAGTGAAGGAAAAGGCTCATTTAAAGGGGTCATATGATGCGATTTCAATTTTTCCTTTCTCTTTGAAGTGTTACAAGCTCTTGGTGCATAAAGAAGATCTGTAAAGTTGCAAAGACTAAAGTCTCAAATCCAAAGAGATATTCTTTATAAAAGTTAAGAGTGAACCACGCCTACCTAAAACGGCTCGTTCTAACACGCCCCCACATGTCTACATCATGATGTGGGAAGATTTGCATAACTCTGCCCAAATGTTCAAGCAAAGAAAGAAGGCGTAATTTTATTCTCGCTGTAGTATTGTTGCTGCCGCCATGTCGTGAAGACGCTGTGTTTCGTTGTGAAAGCGAAACTACTTTGTTTGGCCTTCCAAAAGAGGATGATATCTGCTTCATCATGCGTAGAGCTGGTCCGTGCTGGTCGCTGAGGAAATACATCAATTTCGCGCTGTGGATTGCCAGATCGGCTTTCACTGTGGACAAAGCAGAGTCCAGCCCGGGGTCGTCACATGTCACATTGCCGCAAGCCCGCCGGACGCTCCTTCGTCGAATCCGCCGGCCGCCGCTCACTCTAGCCCCGCCGGCCTGAAAGCGAAACTACTTTTTGTATAAAAAAAAAAAAAACTGGACCTGCAACATTCCTGCAATTATTTTGACCTGTACCCTCTAGCTGCTTATGTGGTCATTTGCTTATGTTTCTCTCTGTCGGGACTGGCTTTCATTGAGACCCCCTCCTCTCTGACCTACACCTCGGACATTCGTTTCAAACCCAAGCCTTGGGAGCCACCGTGTGGACTGACGGAGGGGATTGAGATAGTCTGCCTTTGTATCTTCATCCTAGATGTCACTGTGAAGGTAGAAATCCAGAAATATTCAGTTGACTATTGGGATAGCATTAAACAGGTATTTCACTCAAAAAATGAAAAATCTGTCATTATATGTCATTCAAGCCCATATGACAGAGTTAAACAGACCTCTTTTGTAATATGACTTAAGTTGATTAATATTATATTAAAGAACATATTGGATGTTTTGTGTGTTTTGCAGAGTTATCTGATAGGATGGGAGGAGTTTCGTATGAACAAATGGCTGATTGGTTATATAGTAGTGATTGCAGCATCAGTTATTGATTGGATGTTGAGTATTAGCATGATGTGCAGTGAGGTGAGTTTATAAGAACTACTACAAAGCTGCTTATTTATTGTGCCTCTTTACACTATAACAGTATATGACAATATTTACACTATAAAACAAATTGGCGTAGAAAGTTTTCACTCGAAATTGCTAGTAAATTCCACAAAATAATTACAAAGAAATGGCAATTAACGCATTACATTAAACTGAAGATTGAAATAGTATAAAGTTAAATGTGACAATAAATTACTAAATTAATTCAATATGACATCAATATACCTTTTTAAGTAGTTTCACTAAATTAAATATCGAAAGTCCCCACATGTAATCTGCCCAGCACTATTGGCAAAATAAAATGTGACCCTGCTGGACCACAAAACCAGTCTTAAGTCGCTGGGGTGTATTTGTAGCAATAGCTACAAATTTTGAATGTGTCAAAATTATTGATTTTTCTTTTATGCTAAAAATCATTAGGATATTAAGTAAAGATCATGTTCCATGAAGATATTTTGTAAATTTCCTACTGTAAATATATTAAAACTTAATTTTTGATTAGTAATATGCATTGCTAAGAACTTCATTTGGACAACTTTAAAAAATCTTTTGATTTTTTTGCACCCTCAGATTCTAGATATTCAGGTGATGTATAAATCTCAATTTCGAAAAATTGACACTTATGACTGGTTTTGTAGTCCAGGGTCACAAATGTTCTTATAATTCATAGAAATGCAAGTAAAATGTAATTCTAAATGAACTTCATTAAAGTGCAGTTAAAATTTTAATTTACAATTCTTTTTTTCATTTTTATTTAACTTGCCCTCATTTGAAGAACAGACCAAAATTTAAGTTGTATTTTAAATCTTGCCCTCCATTTTCACTTAAATCTAATTTGCATAAGCACATCAAATATGACCTGAGGGAAATGAAATGAGATGTTAATTTTTGGACAATCTATTCCTTCATCATCTTAAGTAAATGTCTCAGTCAGCTGTCAGCATCAGGTCAGTTGATTGTAATGCTTCCCTGTCATTCTGTCCCACAGAGTTTAAGAGTCAGGAGACTAATTCGCCCATTTTTCCTCTTGCAAAACTCTTCCCTTATGAAGAAAACTCTAAAATGTATCAAAAGGACTCTTCCAGAAATAGCAAGGTAATAACATATTTTCTGTAATAAGGGTTTTTCCCCATAACAGCCTCCATTTAATTCCTTATTTTCACTTCTCAATTTGTGTGCAGTTCCATTCTAATATTATTATTTAAAAATGACCGGATAAACGTTGACCGGATCGGTTCTCTCTGTTTTTCACTCTTTCTGTGGGTCTTAAAAAAGCCTTTTTAAATAAGAGCAGAAAGTCTAAAACTGATAAAGTCATGGCATTAAATGTTGCATACATTGCAAAAGTGATTTTTTTTTTTTTTTCCAAATACAAATATCTAATCATCCTTAAATCAAGATACATTTACATGCAAATGTAAGTTCTTGAAAAATAGAACAAAATTGAGTGAGTTAGTTTAAAACAAAAACAAATATCTGTCAATGGGGTTTAGTTAATAAAATTAGTGTAGTTTTTTTAAATAAATTTAGTTTAGTTTTAATTAGTTATTTAGTTAATCTTAATGTGCAATTTGTAATTGTTATCTGGCCAGTAAAGGAACAAATACCATCCAATCTTTACATTTACACTGAATCATTTAGCAGACACTTTTATTCCAAGTGAGTTGCTACAGTTGACTGAATAGATGTGTTTCTGTAGGACCCTAAGAAGAATGGAGAATGGGAAACCTACTTCAAAAACCTGCCAAAGGCCCTGTCTTCTCTGCTAGTGCTGCTAACGACAGCCAATAACCCTGACGGTACGTCTTCATTTGACTGTAAATGTTGTTAAAGTCTCTCAGGAGGTGCAAATCTCTGAATGACTCAGTAAAGTTTTAGATGATCAGTGACAGATGACATTTTGGCACCGTTGTGTCGAATTCTCAGTCATCTCTGGCTCATTGCAGTGGAGGCTATGAGTCATTGGCTTTAACCACATGACATGATGTCTTGTGACTTGTCACAATGTTCTGTTAAACTTTCACAGGTATCTGTATTCATTTTAAATGTGAAACTGCCTAAAATGGCCTACAACCTTTCTTGTAATCTGTGTGTCTGTCAACGTGTCTTCCTCTCTCAACAGTCATGATTCCAGCATACTCTCTGAACCGTGGCTATTCTATATTTTTTATACTCTTTAGTGTGTTTGGTAAGTTTTAATGGCAATCAATCACACACACACACATACAGACATATACTGCTGGTCAAAACATTGGAATAATATAAGATTTTGCAATATTTCTAAAAGAAGTCTCTAATAATTATTTCTGAAGAAATGTGTCTCTGAGTAATGGCTGCTGAAAACTCAGGAATAAATTGCATCAAATTTGCATTAAATTTGATGCAATTTATTTTAATTTTTTACTGTATTTATTCAGTGCAGCTTTGGTGAGCATAAGAGACTTCTTTTCAAAAACTTTTGACTCATAGTGTATATTTACACGCACGCACACTTCAGTTAATATTACTTGCATTCAAAATTTTCCACCTGCATTAAACATTGACAATTTTTTTTCTTTTCTTTTAGGGACATATTTGTTAATGAATCTAATGACGGCTATTATTTATAACCAGTTCAGGGGATATTTACTGGTGAGTGACGGTTACGTGACTTACATTAGATGTTGTTTTAGGAATTTGTGCTTGTTTGCTAAAAGAATAGTTCAGCAATCTACATTCTGTTATTATTTCCGAACTCATATGTTTTTTTTCCCATGGAGCATAGAATGTATTTGATCATTTCCAAGCTCCTCTTTTCCATACAACAGAACTGACCAGAGCCCATCAAGCTCCAAAAATGACAAAGAAAAAAAAAAGCACAATAAAAGTTTTCCATATGACCCTGTGTTTTCAATTGGTTTTAAGGCATACCATAATTATTATTGTATGGAAAAGAGTGGCGTGAAAATTCTTCAAAAATTCCTCTTGTGTTTTGTGAAGTCATACATGTTTGTGACAAAATGAGGGTCAGTAAATGTTGATTTTAGGTGAACTGTTCCTTTAATTATTGATGTTATGGTCTGTGTGTTTAGATGTCAGTTCAGACGTCTATAATCAGGAGGCGTCTGGGTATTCGGGCTGCTTTCGAGGTGCTGTGCTGTCCAGGCCGAGGGCACACCAGCACTCAGTCTGAAGGCCATGTGTAAGATCCAGTCCTCTCCAGCACTTTAGTCTTTCTTCCTTATAGCAAACATTTACTCTTTATATCTCTAATGTGGTGTTTTATGCCTGGTCACATGACTTTTCCTGTTGCTGCTCAGGGAGCGAGTGGCGGTGAACATGTTTCTGCAGGTCATGGATAGAGTCCACATGAAGTCTTACTGCAGGCAGGCTATCATTAAGGTCAATACAGATTGCAGAATAGTTTGTTATAGTAAATAGTGCGTGACATGGTTGTTTGTTTTACCTGTCTTTTGTTTCCTCCAGGCTGCTCGGCAGTTCCCAGATGGCTTCATTAATGGCGAGGCCTTCCAGAGGCTCTTTAATGAGCTGGATAAGGATTTTATGAAAGAGGTTTGATCGTCTACATTTGTGGAACAGTTTACATTACAGTACATTCAGAATTCAGGAAGTTACACTTTTTGAACAGTTTGTGCAAGTTGGTTAAATTAGTATTAGAATCATTAGGACATTAGTGCATAGCAGGGTTGGGCAAGTTGAGAATTGGTTCCCTTGCATTTTATGAGCTAGAATTTGAATCAGAATGACAGCTGTACACTGTAAAAATTGACTGTGACTTTAACGGTAATATACTGTAAAAATGCTACAGTAAAAACCTGTTAAATGGTTAACGGTAAGTTCCCCTACTATATACGGTGAAAAACTGTATTGGAAATTACATGTAATTTTTACGGTAGTATACCGTTTTTAGAAGTGAAAAAGAGCATATAATTTACAGTGAATAACCGTAAATTGACATTACCAGAATTCCCTGCATTACATTTTAAATTTGATGTTTTTTTGTTGAAATAACTATGTTTCTACTTAGTTTTTTCTTATCAGTTATGTTTATTAGGGTTGTATATTACACCTAATGTTGTTAAATTAATGTTTAGTGCATTATTTCAGTTTCATGTGTGTTACCATGATGGTGTTTAGTGTTTGTGTGAATGACACTGTGCACCTTCTATATATGTTAATATTTAAAAGCTGCTTGTGATGGGCTTTTGTTCATCATGTGACTTTCTCATCACCATCTGCTTTTGGTGGATATCAGTGTATTACAGAGGTACAAAATAGATTTCAGTACTTCAATAGGTTGATATATTAACATTATATCAGTTAATGAAATTACGGTATTTAACTGTAAATTTGAGTTAAAACTATCAAATCTAAAACGTTGCTACTGTATTTTTTATGGTAAAATTCCGGCATCCACAGCTGCCGTTTTTTTACCGTAAATTTTAAGGAATTATTTTTTACAGTGTATGGCAATTCACAAAACGAGTTTTGATGAATCCAATACAACAACGAAACAGGCAAGAATAGATAACTGTTTAAAGTTTGCATCTTATAAGTTTGCTTCATTTTGTTTGGCTTTAATACAATTAAGAGAGCATTCTAGAAAATAATGTGTTCTTCAACTATGTTCCAAACAAATAAGTTAAATTCTTATAACAAATATAATAATGTATAATAACATATAATTAATTATTAAATTTATTTATTGAATATAATATGTATAAATATAATAAAATTAATATAAATTGTGTAGAAAATTCTTATACAAACAGTGAATATTAATAGTATATAATTTTTCAGGAAAGTGGAATAATGTAATATTAAACCACACTTGTAGCAGAGTGTTTTTGAATTTCATTTGATTTTACTTCCTCAGATTCAAACTGAAAGAGTTTAATTGGAATTTCTAAAGACACTCTTAATTTAATTCTGAATTCAGCTTTGGTGTCAACAGACATTTTAACTATTCTATTTTTGTTTTTTTTGTTTTTTTCCCCCCTTCAGCATCCACCAAAACCAGAGTACAGTTCTCCTGTCCTACGGCATATCCAGAATATCTACAGTCACTTTTATATTACTGTTCTGGGGAATGTTGTCGCTCTGGCAAATGTCATCTGTATCTGTGTAAGATACCATATTTCCTTTTACTTGCTTTGATTATCATATACATCACCCTACATAAAGAACATTACACACTTTTCCAGAATTCAGTAGACTAAAACAGGGTCTTCCAAATTGGTTGTTCACCACCTAGTGGTTCATTATGGAGCTGCAAGGGGCTCTTGAGATAGAAATGCCAAATTAAATTGATTTGGATTGAAATATGTAAGTTTTAATATTAAATAATCAAGTGTAACACTTTACTCTTACACAAACAAGTCATCAAATGTATTTAAACATTGACCACAGATTATACTTTATACAATAAAATGAAATCTACAAATGTGAAAGTACTCATACTCACCATAAATGCTTACAATTCATATAATTAAAAAAACTAGTTTAATAATTGTATTATTACAATTATTAACAAATTATAGCATTATTTGAAATCAGATCAGAAAATTATTTGAATAATTTAGTTCACAAAAATAGATTGCAGTCTATGTAGAGCGCAGGATGTTTTGAGTTTTTTTTTTTTGTTTGTTTTTTTTTTGCAAAATGGTGCGATCTTGTGGATAGCATATGCAAAAAAAAAATGATTTGAATGTTGAAGTTCATATCTGATGTCTGTTATTGTTTTTCTGCAGACTGTCTTGGTTCTGAATTCAGAGAAATCTGGGTCAGAGAAAAATAACTTCTATATGGAGGTGACTGTTTCATGCACTGAAAATAATTTATGTCACTGTAAAAATATAATTTCATAGAAAAATATTAGTTGTTGGTTCGTTTGTAAAAAAAAATAAATAAATAAATAAATAACATTGTGTTAAATCCTTTGGGTGGACTTTAAAAATGATCTTTGGTGTCAACAGATGCATTGACTGTTCTGTTTTTGTCTTTTCCCTGAAGCATCCACCAAAACCAGAGTACAGTTCTCCTGTCCTACAGCTTATCCAGTGTATCTACAGTCACTTTTATATTACTGTACTGGGGAACGTTGTTGCTCTGGCTAATGTCATCTGTATCTGTGTAAGAAACCTTATTTCCTTTGACTTGCTTTTATTATCACATACATCACCCTACATGAAGAACATTGCATACATTTCCAGAATTCAGTAGATTAAAACAGGGTTTTCCAAATTGGTTGTTCACCACCTAGTGGTTCATGATGGAGCTGCAAGGGGCTCTTGAGATAGAAATGCCAAATTAAATTGATTTGGATTGAAATATGTAAGTTTTAATATTAAATAATCAAGTGTAACACTTTACTCTTACACAAACAAGTCATCAAATGTATTTAAACATTGACCACAGATTATACTTTATACAATAAAATGAAATCTACAAATGTGAAAGTACTCATACTCACCATAAATGCTTACAATTCATATAATTAAAAAAACTAGTTTAATAATTGTATTATTACAATTATTAACAAATTATAGCATTATTTGAAATCAGATCAGAAAATTATTTGAATAATTTAGTTCACAAAAATAGATTGCAGTCTATGTAGAGCGCAGGATGTTTTGAGTTTTTTTTTTTTGTTTGTTTTTTTTTTGCAAAATGGTGCGATCTTGTGGATAGCATATGCAAAAAAAAAATGATTTGAATGTTGAAGTTCATATCTGATGTCTGTTATTGTTTTTCTGCAGACTGTCTTGGTTCTGAATTCAGAGAAATCTGGGTCAGAGAAAAATAACTTCTATATGGAGGTGACTGTTTCATGCACTGAAAATAATTTATGTCGCTGTAAAAATATAATTTCGTAGAAAAATATTAGTTGTTGGTTCGTTTGTAAAAAAAATAAATAAATAACATTGTGTTAAATCCTTTGGGTGGACTTTCAAAATGCCCTGGTGTTTTTTCAGCAATAGTTGATATATGTGTTTTTCTGCATTTTCTGTGTGGTTCTATAAATATTAATGTAAATATATTTTCTGTCTTTTAGATCCTCAACTGTATTTTCATCCTGTACTATTTAATAGAGATGCTGCTGAAAATAGTGGCTTTTGGTTGGAGAGGTTACCTGTCTTACAGGAATAACATCTTTGATGGATTCCTCACTGTTCTTCTTCTGGTAACACATTTCCTGTGTCATTTTTTTGTGATTTAAAATAATCATTAGGAATTCTGAGGCATACATAGCTGTTTACATAGTGAAGGCAATAACTGGAGACTCATTGTGTTTTTCTTTTATTCTCAACAGGCAATTCAGATTGCCATATTCATCACGTACAGGATTCCCTATGAGGACGTGTGAGTGTGCTTAATTTGAAGAACAAATCTCCTGATCTCTTCTCCAAATGCTTCAATGTGATGTTTTACTCTTATGTTAACAGAGATCTGGTTCCACGACATGTGATGGCTTTGTGGGAGATGGTGCGACTGGTCAACATGTTGATTGTCTTCCGTTTCCTCCGAATAATTCCAGAAATCAAGGTTGGTGGCGGGCTTCTCACATGAATCACATTGGTTCTAAATGGACACAAGGAGAAATGATACTACAGCTGTGCGAAACATACCGGCACCATTGCATTTCTTTTCTCAAATAGTTTTTTGCTAGATAGATAGATAGATAGATAGATAGACTGTACATTATTCCTTACCTATTTGAAGACAGTTCACAGGAGCCAGTATTTTTTCATATAATTGGCACGATTGGTCATACCATCTGACATTAAAAGAGCACTAAAAATGCTTAAAATGTAATAAATGCTTAATAAATGTGTAAAGATTTTTTTGTGCTTACTTTAGTTGATGGCCGTGGTTGCCAGCACTCTTGTGGACCTGGTGAAAAACTTGCGGGCATTTGCTGGCATTCTATTGGTGAGTGAACAGACTCTTTTTTTTTTTCTAGCAGTTTTATTATTGATGGTGATTGATCGTACTGATGGTCTCTTCACTTGTACATTTCTCTGATACAGGTAGTGTACTATATGTTTGCCGTCCTTGGTATCTGGCTTTTCCAGGGAGCTATAACCCCTCCATCAAACATGAGGTACTGTTCATCAACTGCACATTTAACAGGAAACATAAAAATACAGTAAAAACTGTAATATTGTGAGATATTATTACAATTGATTATTTTTTTAATGTATTTTAAATTGTGATTTATTACTGTGATGACTGAATTTTCAGCAGCCATTACTATAGTCTTCAGTGTCACATGATCCTTCAGAAATCATTATAATATACTAATTATGCTCAAGAAACATTTCTTATTATTTTCATAGATTTTACATCTGAGCCTCTTCTCTCTCTATGTGCTCTCCTTTCAGTCTAATCTCCAATGCCAGCATAGAGAACAAAACGGATGGTCCCTTCAGCATGGATTGTGGCACTTTTGAACAGCTGGAGTACTGGCCAAACAACTTTGATGATTTTGCTGTAAGTTGCACAGAGGCCTCTGGGAACTTGGTTTTTAGGAAGTTCCCAAAATGCCATAATAAGCATGTATGAGGAATAAGTAGTCAGAGGATTTGACCAGATTTGCTAGGATTAAAGTATTAAATGTGTTTTTAAATTTTTTATTTTAATACTATTTTCACTTTCAAAAGTGAAACCTATATTTTAGGTTTAAGCCTACATACAATTAAGGAAAACTGTTTTTTTGGTCTCGCAAATTAATGTCAATTATTGAGCTATTAAATAACATTTTTTTTTACTATTTTTCCTGTCATATTTTTCCAGTCCTCTCTGGTTCTCCTCTATAACATCATGGTGGTGAATAACTGGCATGTTTTCACAGACGCATACACCAGATACACTACAGAGTAAGCTAGACGCTCTATACACACACACACACACACACACACACACACACAGGTTTGTTTTTGTGAAAAGTGGGGACATCCCATAGGCGTAATGGTTTTTATACTGTACAGACCGTATATTCTATTGCCTTACACCAACCCTACCCCTAGACCTACCCCTTACAGGAAACTTTGTGCTATTTCAGATTTTCAATACACTCCATTCTGTGTGATTTATAAGCGTTTTGAAAAGTGGGGACATGGGGTAATGTCCTGAAAAGTCACCTTCTCCTTGTAATACCTATGTCATACCTTTGTCATTATACAAATTTATGTCCTCATTTGTCACAAAAACGCGCGCACACACACACACACACCCTTCTGTCTGTCTTTAACACGTGTGCTTTAACTGAACGGGGTTTTGTAAATGTGTACCCATAATTCTTCCATGTCAGGTGGTCCTTGGTGTACTTTGTGGCCTGGTGGTTGACATCTTCAGTCATGTGGGTCAACCTGTTTGTGGCCCTCATTTTGGAGGTATGTAGATTGTTTGCTGTAAATAATTCAAGACTGACCATATTTACTTTATTAATACACATTCCCAGTCTTCCTATTCCAAAATGAAAAAAATATATATTACAGTCCTATTTTTATGACTGAAATCTAATGAACTACTGAACAAATGATCAATAGCATGACTTTTTTCCAAACCAGTTAAACACACACCCTGTCCCGCAGCTGATTGTAAAGATTTCATTGGTCATGTCAGTGACAGTGTTGATTGCCTATACAACACTGAAACCAATACTAACCCCTAACCTTAACCTTAATAACCGGTAGTAGCACATCCAGTTAGTTAGCATTACTGTTTGTAACTGAATCAATAAATTCTGACCTTTTCTTGACAGCGCAGTAAATTTGTTTCTAAACATGCTAGTTAACCTTGTTTTTTTTCCCTTTGTTTAGAATTTCACTTATAAGTGGGACCGCAGTAATGCTCTTTCTGTTGAAGATGTGGAGAGAATTGCCTATCAAAGCACTGTACAGCTTATTTTCAGGTATGAATAAAGCCTTTGTAAAGTTCTCATCAATGATTCTAGAGACCTGGGAGAAAACAAGTCGCACTGTTTTACCGACCATTAGTTCTAAAAATGGCAAAATTTCCACTTTAAAATGAATCCGTGAGAATCAATAAAATATGATCAATAGAGCTGTTTCAGCTGTTCTGTTTGAACACCATCAAGTTATCAGGATGTTTGTCTGACAGTAGTGATAATTCAATAGATGAAAATAAGTGAGTTTTGAAATGAGTTTGAATGGTCACACTTTATTTTAATCACACTTTATTATCTCGCTATTAAGAAACCATTAACTAGTACTTTTGCCTCAGTATTATTAAAAGTTAGTAAGGTAGTTGTTAAAGTCCCCCTGTAGTAAAAAATTTTATCCTTTAAAACTCATCTTTGATCATCAAAATGACATATTTAAATGTTTTTTCTTTTGAAAATAATTTTCTCATGCCTTAAAATAGCTTGAATGCAACTCTACACCCTTCCCCCGGGAGCAATGCGTGTGAACTGCGGACGCCAATGCAGGAGAGGTGGGTCTGACTCCGGGCTATTTTACACTGTTGCCGTGGGTTATTATTCAAGTTAGCGGTTCTAAATACAAATAAATAAGCGCTAACAGCACATGACATCGTGAAAATAGGGGGAAATATTAACAGTTAGCGAAACATCTACAGAAAAAATATAACTGTTACCGGACTAACCTGGCTGCCTTCTCACTAGACCCTCTGCTTTGCAGCACAGTTAATGATATGCTAAGGATAGGATCCCTTGACGCGATTGGTTATTGAATTTTGTGACGGAGCAAAAAAGAGGCTGTTTCAAACCGCGTTTCTGTGACTGCCTTTGGGAAACTACAGTTTTAAGGAGAAAATACTCCGCAATGGTGTTGATAAATGGATTGCGCACATGGTTTGTCTAAAAGCATATTAAAAACACCACATAGACAAATAAACAACATAAAAAACTTGATTTTCACCACAGGGGGACTTTAAAGAGGTCATCGGATGCCCATTTTCCACAAGTTTATATGATTCTTTAGGGTTTTAATGAAAAGTCTATAACATACTTTGGTTAAAATTTGTCAATGATAGTGTAAAACAACACCCTTTTTACCCTGTAAAAAACAGCTCTGTTTTCAGCAACCCATTTTACTGCATGTTCCTTTAAATGCTAATGAGCTCTGCCCACCCCGCCCCTCTCTTCCTTGGGGTGACGAGCAGGTCTCATGATACTGTTTACGTTAGACGCAGAACTTGCTAACTGGCACATCATTTGGAAAGGTGATTAGCAAAGATTCATAAAAGAACCTTATACTCACTTCTTCTGTAGGTGAGGCAGGATCACTAATGATTCGCATGAACATAAACGCATTTAGGTAGATCGGGGGGTGCATTCCCTTCAAAAACAAAAGTAATTCACTGCGTCTTCAGTGGCTCAGATGTCAGGAGTAAAGGACGACTGCTATGTTCATTATTACATCCACACGCACCTGCAGCACTTCTGCGAGCGGAGAAAAACATAATAAAGCTAGGCTATATGTATATAAATAATAATAATATAATATTATATTCATATAATTAAACAACAACAATAATAATAATAATAAATAGGCCTATACGAGAAATATATTTTTACTTAAATAATAAATTAAGAAAACAAAAGAAAAACTGCAACAAGTAGCCTAGTATGCAGAGTTTCGGTTCATTTTTGTGCTGCGTGAAAGGAAACAGACGTCGGATCCTATTTTTCGTTAGGCTTATTTTACAAAAGCACAAAGATTTGTTTTTATTGTGAATGTACATAAATAAAAGCAAACCTTTTACAATTCCGATTATTTTTATGACTAAAAGGAGTAGTTGCTTCCACTGTTATGATTAAATGATTGCGCCGGTGCCGCATGCGCGCACACAGTTAAGGTTTGCAACCTTGACAATGCAGCCTGTTCATTATCATAATAAAATACAGTCAGTCAAACATATGGAAAAAAAAACAGACTGCTCAGTTTAAATATGTAGGTAGTAAAATCTGTGCCAAGCCTAACTATGTTTACAGTGTTTATTATAATGTTTGTAAACATTTCGCATCGGCATTAGGTCTATTTCTGAATGAAATAAAATGTGTCTTATATACGACTTAAGTTTTTTTTTTTTCTAAAAAAACACAATTTTTACGTATTTTAACCATGCAGCAAACCTTTTGAAATATTTTGACAAATTACAGAGAAAAAAAAAAGAAAAGTAAATTACTTTTTAAACCGTTGAACTGATTGTATTAATTGGTCAAAAATTCTTACGGTCGGTTAACGGTTAACCGGTTAAAATGAACATCCCTACTTAGGA